AAAAAAAAAAAAAAAAAAAAAAAGAAAAGAAAAGAAAAAAAAACACAATAAAAAGTACTCGATTAATTTATATAAATAATGAAAAAAAAAAGTAAATAATAAATACAATCTGTTGGATATGACGGATTAGCACGTTGTTAAATTTATTGACATAAGCAAATGCGATAAAGATAACGATTATCGGGTCTCGCAAGCCCTTTACTCAAGATCTAAACGAGCAATCTTAATTAATTAATTAGTACATTCAGATTCGTATAGAATACTCTATATCGAAGCAAGCTTCGACGAAGCTTTACACGCGCGCGCACACAATGTCCATTTGTAAAGAAATTCAATGCAATAGGAGTGGTAAGCCTTTACTATTAATTATATATAGGGGCTAACGAGATTGATAAAGGTAAAGCGATAGTACAACTTATATAAAAATATAAAAGGCTCGAGTCTAAACGGGAGCTAGTTAAGGTAGCACGCATTTATCATAATGGCGATTGCGATAGAGCACGAGTAGGAAACAACAAATCAAAATCATTGGCGAACTAGGATAGATTAAAATAAGGCAATACGCTATCACCTCTTATTCAATTGAGATTCGGAATGCGTTATTAGACTCATAAAAGGGAGTATCGCTGGAGCAACTATTATTAAGGACATAATTCGCGCGCTATGTGCGTATACGATTGATTTAGATTTATTAAACAAAAGAAGAAAAAAAAAGTGATTGGTTCAACTTTCGATTGTTGAAAAGCTACAATAAATTTTATGAAGAATATTAAGAAGCAGGCAAAGGTCTTTAACGAGACCATTAAAAGCAGATGCGCTCAATGTATAACGTTGGAATGGCAAACGGCCGTGTAAACGTAAAGCACAGCGAGTATGGAAACAAATATTTTGAATATTTTCAATTCTTCTTTAGCATCTTCCAAGTTTTTAGCGTGGACGTCGTATGATTATGTATTATGAAGTTTCAAGAAAAAGAAGAAAGAACGAACGAATATGAGAAAGGAAGTGAGAAAACCTTGTATTGGTAATGAGAAGAGAAGAAAAAGTATTCAAAAGTCATTCGAAGGAGAAATGTCGTAGAAAGAAGTCGAGTAGTTGGAACGAAGCTAATGAAAGATAGTAAAGTATGTAGGAAATTCGGTAATCGTGCGATGAAACGAATCTGTTGGCCATTTAATATTATAAGGATAATAATTAGTTTGCTTAGATTTGGAGAAGCGGAGCATTTCATTTTGATGGGACATGAATGGAAGAGACAGGCAGGCAACTCATGGAGCTGAAGATGATAAAACCGGAAGGTAATATAGACCTTCGACCAACCAAGTCGACAAGCTTACAAGAAATCATAATAAATGGATGTCTTTGAATAGGTAGTGAGCGGACAATACCTTGAATACGAAAATCGCGCCTTTCAATTTAGTCATAATGAAGTGTGTGAGAGAGTGAGAGTGAGAGTGAGAGAGAGAGAGAGAGAGAGAGAGGATGTGTGTGTGTGAGAGAGAGAGAGAGGATGTGTGTGTGTGTGTGTGTGAGAGAGAGGATGTGTGTGTGCATCCCATCGCCACCAATACTTCTACAACAAAATCAAACGGCAATGTATGAACGCGCTATCGCGACAAACGATCCTCCAAGCAATAGCAATTCCCATCCTTCGAGCCTACAAACAATTCAAAATACTAACATAGCGTTGCGCTATGTTTACAGGCGCTCCTCCCTCAATCCATCGAGCGCGCCGCGCAAACATTGGAAAATGCGGAAAATGCCAGTGTCGGCTGGCCGCAGCGGTGAGTCCGCAAATATTTTTCGATCGCAGTGCGCTGCTGCGTCAAAACAGACGCGCCGACGATCTAAGACAGAATGCGATTCCAGCGATAGACAACGGATGCCGGGCTCTCTCGAATACCGCACGATGGCCCTTCATGCGGCCATCGTGGTCTTTCAATGCCAAGGGCGCAAAAGACGAAAAGCTCGGTGAAGCGTCGCGGAGTTCCGTGGGGAGCGCCGGATCGCGGTGGTGGCGGCGCGGGGGCGGCGCGGGGGCGGCGCGGCGAGGGAGAATCGGGAACCCCGGGACGGTCGTAGGCAGTGCAGAGGCGCGGTGGAACGCCGTGGCTATTAATAAACATTGGGCGCGCTCCCGTTTTAGAGGCTTCGGGAAAAATGCCGCGCTCCAGCTGTTGTTCGTGGCTGGGCTGAAAAATCACTTGGTGATACTATTTTCTTTAATAATTTATTGGCTTTTTGGGTGGCTGAGGCTGAGACAAAACATCGAGAGCTGTACGTGACCCGATGGCCAGTGCTTTTTCGAATTGGTGCGCATTGGGCTTTCTCCCGTCAACTCGAATTAATAACCAACTCGAAATAATATCGGCTCTGCCTTCGAGACCTGCGAGTTACTTAAGTACATAAAGTAATTGGACTTTAATCTCGCTGGTAAGAGCGCTGGAACCGAATGACGATTAATACTATTTACAATTTGCTCTCTTTGAATATTTATAATTGCGATTATCACGTGCGTATGCCCGGATTATATAATACATCGGAGTGGATCGAGAGTGACGGAATATTGTTTAACCGTAACCGTAAACTTATATTACGACCGACATTATTAATCGTTTAGTGTCAAAGGAATAGATCGAGTAAATTATCTGTCATTCTTAAGCACTTGTAATTTAAATTCTCAAATTATCGTCGAATTTTAATACGTTCACAGGACAGCAATTTCATCAACTTTATTGAAATATGACGCTCAAAATACTTCTTACTGATTGTTATGAAGTTTTTAATAGAAAGTAATTGTTAAGCTTAAGATAGTGTGAAAAGATCTATAATATTCGTTATGTTTTTTATTATGTTTGTTTTAGGTTTACAAAAGTCATTTAACCATGGAACGTTACGAGTTCCAATATTACAGTTGTTTTTAATTATTTGTCTTTTTGTTTTTGTTTTTTTTTTTATTTTTTTATTCTTTAATCTTGTTCTTAATAACTATTATTCATATAAAAGCTTCAATAAGAAAAGTGTTCGGATAAAAACTCTTTTACAATCGTTGATACGATAAAATATATTTATATTTTTCGAATTTTTAATTTACTCAAATATTAATATTTGCACTCATGGATGAATTAGAGGTTGGCTATCATATTTGATATTCAGATCAAGTTTTATGAATATTTTGAATAAAATTTCATTTTCGAGACATATATACGTACACAATTATGTATTATGTTTGAATAAAACTGTTTTCTACTGTATTTTCGATAAAATAATCCAAGTGGTAGTATCTTCATTTTTTTTTTGTTTTTTTTTTGTTTTGTTTTTGTTTTTGTTTTTATCCTAAGCGAGCTTGAAAATACCCAACTGCCAATATGATTTATAATAAATTAGTTCCGTTATACTTTGTCTTTAATTTTATTCATACATTTTTTAAAAGCTTGAGAATGCAATAGATCCCTTTCTTTTTTTTTTGTTGATTTTGTCTTTCATGGATAATTCTCATCTGATATCTGAGAATTGAATTTATTTTTTTTTATGTTTATGTTTAAATTATTTAGAACAAGTGCTAGAATTTTTTTTTTTTTTTTTTTTAAATACACAATCGTTGTTTTGTAGAGTAATGGCAAATTTAAATTCCCATATGATAATGTTTCAGATAACAATGTCAAGAACGTCAAGAAATTCATTTTTAATTTCGCTTAATATTACAAAGGCGAAAAGCAAGTTTTTTTAACTTATTTTTTTAATAAAAAATTGTTTTCATACCAATCTCCAGTAAATTACCATAATTTGAAAAATTCCTCTAGCAGCTAATGCATTTTTCTATTTACATTATATAAAAGAATTTATCTATCAATTACAGTCTGTTAGCAATTAACGTTAGATAAATGTTTAAATTCCATTGAAGAATATTAATCTACAGTATAAATCTTAATAAAAAAATTCGTCAAAATTGTCCTTCAAACGCCAATTTAATATCTTTAACATTAAACAAATTCATAAATACAATTTTGCATGAAATTAAAAGAAACGAATACTTTCTTAATGATAATCAAGGCGGAAGGAGGCGTTTATCCAAGAATAGAAAGTGGAATTCCCAGATAAGATAAAGTACACACTACTAAAAATGACAAATTGTAGATCAAAGCTAAAAAGACACGAGTATCGTAAGAAAGTAAAGCTTCTTTTTTCTTTCGTCCGTTCGTTTTACATCTCTTGCTCCCTCACTTCTCTCGCACTCCTCCTCTTATCCATTTATCACGTCCTGCTCTCTTAATTCGAAAAAAAAAAAAAAAAAAAAAAAAAAAAAATAATAATAATAATAATAATAATAATAATTCGATTTATTCCATTCCCTTCCATTATTCGGATTATATCAATTATTGAAAATTAATGTCACATTATAAAAGTATTTTCGTAATTTCTCATGCATTATATTGTTATAAAAATAAATGATTTTTTATCGATAAACATCAATTTTATGAATTTTTCATTAAATATAGCTTTAGCTCTCGCAACTACTTCAATTTATTCATAATTAATCATTTTATTTTAACGCATGCATTTTACTCTTTGTAATTTTATACTTTAATTATCAACTGTACACGAAATACGAAACATATTTATAAACTCATAATTATTTTAGTGAATCATTGTAATATACGTATATATATGCACACACTGTATTGTTACTATTTGACAATTACTAAAATTTATTAATAATAAGCATAATTATAATCAAGTAATTACTTGAAATGGATTACCTTAATTAATATACGTTCTATTTTTTAGTAACATGAATTTTAGCAATAAGTACATAATATTTTTCAAAAATAACAATACAGAATAATCAGTCGAAATATAAATAAATGAAAATTATCATCGTGATATGCAAAATTATCATCTAGAATCAACAAGACCAATATTAGATTTGACGCTTCACTAAATCGGACATTGTTGTTAATTATTCCCAAGTCACGCTTCATAAGTTTTAAATTTCTGTTATAATGGAAAGAATAAACTTGAAAATCGGCATGGACCATTATTGTGATTATTATTATAATTATTATTATTATTGTCTTACGAAGGAAAAGATGAAAAATTATCCAAAATATTTTCTCTTTTTCACAACATTGATAAACTATGATAAACAAGACTTGCTCGATAATCGTACTCTCTTTTAATAACTTACGATTTACTTCCTAATTCCTTTACCGATAAGTCTTATTTATTTATTTTGATATTTTAAGTTAAAAATATAAGAGGTATTAATGAAATATACGGCAATATTATCTCGTAGGGAACGCGTTTTATGAGCATCCATAAACCGATTGACTCTAATAATATTCTTTTGGCTTCAAAAACATTAACTAACCAAGAAATTGAACATTAATCGTATAAACAAACAAACAATACAAAACAAAATCATATACATCGACCTTATGCGCTTAGCGTTCAACAACAATAGTAACAACAACAAGTCACGACTCAAGAGCGCAAAACTATCCAACCTCCGAAGGCTGAACATCGAGCACTTACAAAGAAAAGATTAAGAAATAAATAAGATAATCAAGCGGAATTTAATACGAACCGACAACCATGAGAGTGAAGTCGAAGCCCTTCTTCACAGCCTTCCTATAGACCTGGTTAGGCAGGTTAGCGAAGCCGACGTAGCCATCGAGCTCCTTGGCTTTCGTGGGTGGGGCTGATTTCGCCGAGGGTGAGATAGCGTTCGCGGCCTCCTTGGCGCTCAGCTGCTCGGCCCTCGCGGACTCGCGCTTGTTGCTGTCCTCGCAGGCGTCGGTCTGGGTGATGGAGGAGAGCTGTCGTGGCTTGGCCGGAGCGCCCGGGGGTGCTGTGGCTGTCGATGCCGACAGCGTCGTTGTGTTGGAGTTCGCCGGGGGCTGAGGCGGCGGCACCGAGGGCACCGTCGGCACAGCCGGGGGCGAGGTCAGCGAGCCACTACCGCCTTTGAAGAAAAGCTCGCGCTTCGACTGAATCTGTAAAATTTCCGGGAATGAGAGAGAGAGAGAGGTACTTTGGAGAAAACGCTATCGTGTCTTTTTAATCTAAGGAGACTCTTCTCCAATGGAATATCAGTATTCCAAAAAATAATTGACCGACGCTGTTTACGTGACTTGGGCACGGCAATAGCCTTTTATTACTGCGCTCAATAATCGAAAGTTTGGCCAAAGAAAGAAAAGAAAAATGCATGAATTTCCGGCAAAGGCGTACAAGTACTTTTGGAAGTCGTTGGGACGGAGTGTTATAAAACATCGTTTCATTAAAAGAAAGGTAAAAAAAAAAAAAAAAACCGGAAAAGCTCGTTTAATCGTGCTGCTGGGATACAAGTGTAATTTATAGTTATTTTTGCGGAAAGCTCACCGAATTGATAAATTCGAGTATGTAAGTAGATTTTTAATGTAATGGTTTTTTTTTTTTTTTTTTAAGGATCAAGTGCTGAAGCAGCGGATTCATTTACGGCAAAGTCATCTTATTGATTTGGTTATTAGCGTTAAATTAATTATCAATGCGTCAGAGCTTATATGTATTGTGCGTTGTATTTATTCGAACAATATGTCTTAAAGGATTTTTAAGATTTATTTATTTCTTCTTTTTTTTTTTTTTTTTTTTTTCTTCTAATTTTTATGTTCTTAATCTTCATCCATTAATATTTTATGGCAGACAAGTCATAATACACGTAATAAATTGTTTGACTCTGGTCAATTCGATAATAGAAATTCCAAAACTTATAAATACATTTCTCTCGTGTATGTATATTATATATCGGCATTATTTAACGAAAATTTTTGTCCTTTTTCTCCATTCGCATAATAATTAATACAATGGTAATCTTCAGCGATATCGTTCTACGATTTGCTGGAAATACTTTGCAACTATAAATACGTAAAAAAAGATTTAAATAAAAAACGTGAATTTTATTTTAAGGTAGCCGAGATAGACGTACGAGGCAGTTGCATTCTGCATTATACAAACGGAATTTAAAAAAAAAAAAAAAAAAAAAAAAAAAAAAAAAAACTATATTTATCTCTGAAGCTTAAATGATTTTTTAAAGGCTGTGAAAATTCATTTACATAAGCAGCCTTAATGCTTTTTCTCGGTAAGACAATCTTTTTAAATAGTACACGAGAACTCGGGCCATTTATCGTAGCAAACATGATTCCGGCAGGAAGTTCAACGCCAAAGGCATCAACGGACGTTGCCTTGTCGTGCTAAAAACGTGAAACAATGCATCGCCATGTCGCTAATGCACCCAGCCACATCATATTCACAATATAACGCTACTGACATAATTCAAATAATATTTTCATACGAGCTTAAAGTTTTGATAATCAGCTAGCTCTAGCGTTTTATCGCTATGACGTCACATTGTTCATTCTTTTTCTATGAATTATGAGAAACTTAATTATGAGTGTCTTAATTTGACATTGGTTTGATATTTTAAAACATCGATTAGCGCTGCCTTCTATTGCTCCGAGCGATACATTTCCCAAGAAATATCCTAAAAGGGAACAAAACGATAAAACATTTCGATAATTGAATGATACAACAAAAGATGTAGTATATTAATATTGATGTTAAATTTCCTTTTAGCCAGGCAGATGGAATAGCTGATCTTGGAGATAAATATCAAAAATTTAACATGTATCGATGAAATCGAAAAGCACCATTACCATAGGCAGAGAAATATTTTATGCGATAGTTTATTGGAAAGCTTTTATCACTGAGAAATATAAATACATTTTGTAATCGTCGATTACAAAGCCTTTCTAGAATCATTGAACTCTAGTTCATTACAAATGTCAGTTTTCCCTAGTACTTTTTTTCGAAATTTAGCGAGCGACTTAGCGCATTCAATGTCAGCTGTCGTAATGTACAACTACAATTTCCAAATCACTATCTCGCTTCTATCTTACTTCTAACGCAGCCTCTCTCGACTCGATAATCAACACTTTTGGATATATGTAGATGTTGGTTGTCATTGTTCACACACGCAACGATGAAAAAAGCAAAGCAACATCCGCTCAATAAAAGAACAGTTCAGTTTTTTTCGCTGAGCACACTGTAGTGAAACATAGGACGAAAACATTCTGCTTTGAATAATCAGCTCGCAAATTAATTTGTCAGCAATTAAAAGCATTATTGCTCGTTATTATTATTCAAGCTGCAATATAACAATAATGAAAATGTGAATAAGAGTTTAACAAATAACGATTATTTCAAAATTATGAAATATAATTTAATAACAGCGATACATTTTTGTAGCGAGTGCCATTAGTATATTAACATGATAGAAAAGAGAAATTTTATTACAACTTTTAGAAGAATGTCCGAGTCCTCGAGCTGGACCGAAGTCGTATGGATCATAGTTTAGCTGGCAAGAGGGTAAGAATAAGATTTTTTTATTTATTTATTTATTTTTTTATTTGTTTAAATAAAATTGATAAAAAGAAGATGCACCCGGTCGAGGAAAAATGACGAAAGCTCGTATTATCTTATGATTTATTGTCTTTTAACCTAAGATCGCAAACTTTTTCATAAACTACTATAAAAGAGAATGGATATTAAACTGTTAATACAACGCGCTCGTTTCGTCTTCTTCGCACATACTTTATGCGCATAGAGTGATTCGGGCGCGTCCTTTAGCAAACCATTACTACAAAATTTATCACTCTTAAAGCATTGCAGCTTAGCCGAAAACTACAACTACAATTCACATCTACGAGCTATACTTAGCCGTGGCTTAAAGAACTCCACGTTAAAATCCAACTTCCGGATACTGCCGATACATTTTACGATCACAAACAATAATTATAGCGCCGAAAGCTACGATATGACGCTCCCGAAAACGGTAACTATAGCGACGCTCGTAGAGTCGGGAAAACGTAGCTCTGGGGCCACCCAGTAAAAACCGGTGGCTGTAGCTAGACTCTCGCGTATAACGTAGCAGCCCTCGGGAGCGATCGGGGAAGAAACGACAATGGGCTATCGCAATCAGGGTGACGTTTAGGGTGAGCGTAGACACTTGCCCTTCCTCGAGCTACTATAATGCGCATGCCCGACGAAATTGCGCCACGATATTACTGTCGCTCATGAAATATTATATTCTAGACAAATATGCTTTATGGTATCGTCGACCAGTGTCGGATTGTTAGTGGTTGGTGGTGCGACCGAGCGCTTGACGATCAGGGCCGTCGACCTGACGACCTTCGGGCTTTTCTCGAGGGTATTGATTTTTTGGCGCACGACGTTACCGATATCACGGCCATGGAGCTCCTCGGAGCCTATCACGATTCTCTGACTATAGAGGGCTTGCGGGCGCGTCTGTAGGGTGCTCTTTGGGAATTTTAGTTTTTTCGCTTGGTTTATTGTGGTGGTGGTGGTCGCGGTGGTGGTGCTGATTTTGGGGGTTGGGGAGGGGGGGGGTCGAATAACTAATCAGTCAATAAGGTTATAAATGGATCTGTTAGAACTACATCGGGATGACCGATTTGAGCGGAATGTCATTATGCTGACCTATGTATATGTACATGAGTAACCGTGGACTTGCACGAGCTTTAAGTTGTTACCGAGTTAGAGAGTAATGTATGCCAATAGAAGCCGATAATCTACGTCTATGACGTGACTTACCTTTCTAGCCATAACTTTGTTATTAAAAACCTCCTCATCCTCCTCCTCCTCCTCCTCTTCCACCCACGACATTAGCCAAGGATATTTGACGAGACGATGATGCGACTAGATGATTATTTGGGAAAGGGAAAATGGTGGTATAGATTACTCTTCCCGGTACTATATGGTGTGCGACATATCGGTGCTCTCTCATATACAACTGACGCGTAAAGTGTGCAAGTCATCACGGTGTATTAAGGAGACAAATAGTAAAAGTGCGAATGTATGTGATACAACTTTGGTTGTTTCTTTTTCATACGGACACACCACACCACTCTTCAGGCGTCCACGTGTGCATGTAAAATCTCGTGGTTTCTCGCTGAAATATCGAGGGCTTTTTGTTGAGCAGACATGGACAAGAAAATTATTTAACCAAGTTGATAACCAAAATTTCCGCAATTTAACAATGCGTATGTGAAAAAATAGCAAATTGCCGTAGTAAAGTCCACCGCTTAATCCATAATTTAAGCTATAGATATAAAACAAAGTTATCCACTGTTTTATCATTCGCTTATTTCGTCGTTGTTCTAGGAAATGCGCGTTGGGCGGTGACGGAATATTTCGGTATGCATGAGAAACGCATGCAGAATGCTCGTGATTGCTGACTGTAGGGGAAAATAGCATTGCCACCAATAATGGAGTTACAAATATGAATGTCAATTTTGAAAAGATAGTTAGTTACTATCGAATAATTTAATCCGCAGTGTGTTGTTGCGAATATTGTTCAGCTAAGGGAACAAAAGATCGTCTATGACGTCTATGAGAAAATGCTGAGGTAACCTCGTCCATCGTCACAGCGAATCAAATTATAAATATCAGCTGTGATTATCATTCCATTTAATACCCCCAAACCCCCACCCCCCTCACCAATTTATAATATATGTAATATATACATCTGCCTTGCTGTCAAGAGTGCAGCCCCTCTGTACTGTGTCAATGGCTTGTATTCTCATTTATAATAATCGACAAGTCGTTCGTGAACGTAAATTTGCACATCCATGTCCGCGGCCGTGGTATAAAACACTATTTTTTAAATGGCCCTTCTTTTTTGAATTCCCGCCCTTGGGTCACTCGATGCTATCAAAGATATTAAATGCATTAAATAATAATAAAAATATGGTAAAAAAAAAAAAAACAAAACAAATAAGACAAAAGAAATATGTTACGGTGCAAGAATTGTAAGGAAAATTTTTATAATTAATTCAATATAATTTCCATAATAACAATGACATTATTATAAAATTATTATTAATCTTAAATGATTTTCTGTCTGTATTATGAAACGCATTTTACAATTTTGAAATGAACG